AGTACAAAATAACAAACTCCCAAATAATAAAGAACATTTCTAATACCCAACAGCCACAAAATAACAAATGCAAATTTCATCAAAAATATCTAGATTCACCATTCAGCTGCACTGTCCTTTCAATTGTATTTTAGAAAGATGGATCGTTCGAAAGTTCAAGGAAAACAAAGTAAATGTCAACACTTATAGAGATTCAATTATTTTTTATTACAAGATTAATGATCAGGTTAGAAATACAACATACCAGCAGTCCCAAAGGACACAGTGCAGAGAAGAATTCAGTACATCTGATTGTATCTTTACTGGGGTCATTGACAAAGTCGTGCACAGTTCACATATACACGAACATTAACAACACACATCTGTGTGTGAGCATGAACTAATTTAAGCTCAGTACGGTTTTCTATCTTTACCAAATTTCAAAAAGTTGATCTTTTTGTTTTACTTTATTGGGGAGAATATCAGGTTTTTCTTTGCTGACAAGGTCACGGGCTAAATTAATAAAGATCCCTGAATGTGTAGTTTGAGCATTACTGAGAGTAAAGCAATTCCCTGCTTCAGTAAACCCCACCATGTTCTGTAGCAAATTGCTGTGTAATGAGTCTCAGTTAAATTGTGGATTAGCTGACCATGACTTTGGTCTAATGCAGAACACTTACAAAAATGCATACATCAGCTTGGAAGGACAGCAAATTTATATGCAACTTTTACTCATATACTGTGGTGTAGGTTGGACTATTAGGGGACGCTGTTGGGGGGGGGCGGGGGTGCGTGGAAGCGTTGCCATTGAATTCAATGCACCGCCACGCTCCCTCCCGCCCCAGAACGCGGGGAGAAGTTTCTTAGCATTTGCGGTGCGTTCCAGCAGCTACCAATAGTAATGTGCAATCCAACAGGGAAAAAGGAGCCATTTAAATCATGTGTGCAGCGATTAAATCTCAAGTGAAGTGCCTGACAAAAGAAAAGGTTAGATGGATTTTGAAGTTAGGTGTGTAATAATTATTTAAAGAGAACATGTGACCCTGAAGTATATATACACTTCACATCAAGCCCTCACGGACCTCTGTAGCAGCAGGCAATTCATTCTTTAAATTTCACAGCAGAAGCATTGATATCTTTGTCTAAGCCAGCTCGATTCCCCCTCCTTCCCACTCCCAGCAGTAGCTGGGCAGTCTTCCAGGCTTCTAATCTTTGATTAAATAATAGTGCAGTAGGAAGATGTAGGGTTAGCTGAACTGCTGAGAGAGCCCACTTGAATTACTTCGGTGCTGTGAAATTTGAGGATGAATTGCTCTTCAGTACCTGCAGCTAATTGTACTTCAGCAATTTTTATTAACATTTAAACATTTCAGAAACATTTCATTTCTTAACATTATAAAAATTAATGTTCTATCCAGAATATTGTATTTATTTCAGATGATACCCTTAAGCATTACTCCAAGATTTTTTAACGCATTATATGCAATGGTCTTAAGGTTATTTGGAGTCTCCAGCAATACTTTAATTAGGACCAAACCTAATGGAGGCCTTGCACTCCCTGATTTTAAATGTTATTACCGTGCTACTGTTGTCACAAGAATAATTAACTATACCTTCACAAAACATTTCAAATTGTGGGCCACCCTGGAAAACACACCTATCTTACCATCATGGTTTGCATTTGTAAAAACGTCAGATCTTGTTTTTCTGAATGCTCCTCCCCATTGAGAACCTCCGCTTTAGCAAATTGGGATTCTATCCATACAACATCAAATGACCATACAATTCTCCACTACTCCTTCTGCTAAGGCAATCCTACTTTCTTCCTGGCCTACTAGCCAAAGCATTCCAAACCTGGTCAACAGAGAAACCCTTCCTTCTCAACAGAGAAACCCTTCCTTCTCCATCATGTGTTCACTACCTCCAAACGTAGACCACTCTCAGAGATTCATGAGCCTGCTCCTCCACGCACACTGGACCACTAGAGATTTACCCAGCTTCATCAATTCATAAGCTCTTTACCAAAACCCTTGGGATCTTACCATGAACTAAACCCCATCCAAGCACTGTTGTCATCTACTCTGGCTCCAACACAATGTATCTCTCAACTATATAAAACACTTCTACAGATGAATACATCAGCTTGCCCATCCTACTTTGCTCAATTTGCCCGCTCAACCAATCTCTGAGGACCAGAAAAATGTGATTCTACAGTTTGCACACTCCTTATTACCCTCTATGTTTCACTCCTTATTATCCTCACATGTTATCTATAATCTCGTCTAGATGCTGAATCATAGTACCTTTACCCACATAGGGGGGATTTTCCCAACAATTCAATTCTTCTTGAAAACCATGGCCAGATATATATCTGACATTCAGGGGACATCCCGTACCCTTGATCCCTGACTCTTTCAGGTTCATTATACAGAAGAGCCAGTAGGCCATTACAAGCGATTCATCACACTCCAATGACTAAATGTGGCTTACTCCTTAATCCCACTGAAGGAAACCCCCATAAAACTATGGTTTTCCAAAACTATCAAATTCGACTCATGGGGGAACTTACCCATATTTCCCATATTTAGGCAGTTTTTTGGGTTATTTTCCCCACTGTACTTATAGTTATCTTTGCTTCCCCCCTAAAACGGATACCTGTTTTGCATGTTATGCTTGTACTGTCAGCACTTTCCCTACTTGTAAAATTGTTTTTACTGTATGTTAGCCAAGATCCGAGCTGACCTAAGTATCTTAACCTAACCCTCTCCCCTCACATCTTCACTCTACCCTTCTTTCCCCACTCCAAACCTATTTCTGGACCCACCTTCACCCCTACCCATCCCATTTTTATCGCTTCCCCAGTACTCTGGGGCAATAACATATGCATGAGATCCATAGGTACCTGGTTGTTTCTGTTTATTTTCAAATTAGCACAAGCGGATCTTGTTACATGTATACATCCACTGCTTCTGTACATTTTCTTGACAAAAAAAGAATAACAATTAAATAAAAAAGGAATACAAAATGTAGCTACCCCAAAAGGTGTTTCCTGATGAGCAGTGCAGATTCATTTCACTGAGCCAGAGAGACTACAAATATTAATAAACAAAATACATGCATTTACCCTGTGCAAGGACTGTTTTTCACTATGGAGGGATTCTGGAAATGACCCATAGGTGGGTTATATTTCTTAGGGAGTGCAGGTGAAAAAATGTTATTGGAGTTTCTAGCTCTGCTTTCTCTATCACAGAGCTGCAGCAGGAGGAGCCTCAGTAACATAGTAAGTGGAAAATCCAGTGGCAAGAGCGGAACACCCTTGTAATAACCACAGCAACTGTGAAAAATCAGATGCAGATATCTGGATCCTGCGTGATATATCATTGCTGGAATCCTGGTTGACACATCCAGCTAGTATCCACACAAAACTGAATTTCATTTTTGGGAAGTTTCATCCATTAGCATCCTTCAATTGAATTTATAGAAATAATGATAGAATAATAATCACACAGCCTGTAAAAACTACTATGGATTAATGATTACTATTGGTCTGTGTATTGTAAGCATAAGTCAACATGGTATGAAGGCAATTACATAACAATATGAAGGCGAATGGATGTTTACCTTTTTGTAAAAAAAAATAGGCAATTTTCAAAGCTAGAATGTGTAGGTGTCAGAGTGACTGCAACCCGTCATATTGCCAAATCAGTGAAATAGTCTTTTGCTATCTTTCCAAATTATCATTTTAAATTCCACCTTCGCTTAAAATGGATATGTGGTCTTGTCTGGTTGCTGGGAAGCTGAGTCACAGATGTTGGTTTCTTATATCTTTTGGAGTCTTTAGTGGAAAGATCTCCACGTCAAATCTCCCATTTTCACTCAACAGCTGCAATCAGTATTAAAGCTGTACTTCTAGCAAAAAGCCATATACACAGTGGGAATAGTTATATGGAAGATGTTTTGTCTCCCAAATAATTTTTATCTCTGTCTGTCCAATCGTAAAATGTACTGGGCCCTAGAAGACAGCACACACAGCCTGGTGACCTGATGTTTCGCTATTGCAGATTAGCAATACAACCAGGTCACTTCCTTGCCTCCAAGCTGAGCTTAGACAATGAAGGAACAGCAGCAGACTAGTGAGCTCCTCCTCCTCTCTCTTCTTCACTCAGTATAATGACTTGTCAGTTTATTTGCATGCAGCACACCTTTAATATTTTTAATGATTACACAGCTGCATTCATTGTTGTTGTTTTTATATCTGTTTTCGGTTCAGCTTTAGCCAATAGCAGCTCTGAAGCTTCAAGAGAGAGTGATATCTTCATTAAAGTATGACTAAAGGCCCCTCCTTGCAGTGAAAGTGCAGTGAAAGACCCTCCTTGCAGTCCCTCCCACTTCACAAATCACCTACTATTAGTAGATGTAAACTGTAACTTTACCCATGTCTGATGCTCATGTCGCCTAGGCAAAGATGATGTCTCGCTCCTTACAGCTAGATTCTAGGGAATGTAGCACAGCCGATAACATGCAAGAACATCTTTTTTTGCAATTGACTTCTTGTGAGAGTTCATCTGCTCTGCATTACCCAGGAATATTCCCGGAAGGATGGTGATATCACTCCCAGTGATCCAGAAGACAAAAGTAAAATAAGTGTCTTACAAACAGTAGGTGGTTTGTAAAGGGGGAGGCGACCCAGGTAATTTGAGAGGACCTTGCACTTTAAGGTCCAGTTTAAATCTTTTTGAAAGGGTATGTATGCACAAACTTCTGTGGGGAAATCTTGCCACCGGAGTCTTCAAAAGAGATCATGAAAACTGGTAATTTAGCTTAATTGTGCCAACCCAAAGTCCAAATAACAGCTTTGGGTTTTGTTGGCCTTTATAGTGTATCATCAAAGTGCCTTTAAAAGTTAAAATAAACTATGTATACATTATATGCTGCCATTATATACTATTAACAATCACCATAATTTATTTTCATATAAAATAGATTTTATTTCATTAAATCAATTCACTGCTAAACATTTTTCTTATTTATAAAGAACGGCCTCTTTCGAGTACCTCAACCAAAACTCGAAAGGATTGTGTTATAGTTTACATTGTGCTAGCTATTAGGATGAGATAAAATGTTTTACTTTCACATCCTTCTATTGACCAAGGACAAAGCAGTAACACGAACAGTACCACCACCACTAAATCCAGTACAAAGACTCACAGCATCAAAACAAGTCATTTTATAGAGACAACACTTGTGATGTTACAAAACGCAGTAAAAAAATAAAAATTAAATTATACCCATATGACCAGCTGGCCAATGGCACCCCTGTATTGTAATTTTAAAAAGTTCTACAAGGCACCACACAACAATTGCAAAGAACACAACATATCATAGACTTCCGTGACTTTTTTTGTTGTTGTACAGTGTAAACTTAGAGATGTTAAGGCATGTGCATGTGCAAAATATAACACTACAATTCAGACTGGCATTAACAATTGACACAGCTCACGGGACAATCCGCTCTGGTTTATAATACACAGTGACATTATAAGAGACACAGTATATTTACCATGTTCACTGAGACAAGCTAAATATGGCCCTTTGTTTAATAATTGCTGTTTTTCTTTATGTTAACCAGCTTCCTGTTAGATGGATTTTATAATATCAGGAAAGAGGTCAAAAAGCAAAAGTAGACCTTGATTTTCTATCTATAAATAACAGTGCCTGAAATCAGTCCTTTGTTCGAAACCTCTTCTCCTCTAGAAAGGTCCATATTAAATTGTTGACCAGTTCTGGCTGATCCTGCTGAAGCCAATGACTGGCTTGTGACAGCACTGATAACTGGAAAGAATTCTTCACGTAGATTCTGGTGAGTTCGGCCATCTCCACTTCAACAAATGCATCGTTTTCACCCCACAATAGGAGAGTTGGCATGGTCACCTGATGGTGTTTCAAAGGGAGGCAACTTTATTGAGAAAAAGAGAAATTGGGATTGTTAATTTCTTTCCCATAACAGATCCACCTAGGTCTGCTATGTTGGTTTCTAGATGCAATGTTTGATTATCTAAAAGCATACATTCCTAGTTCATACATTGCTATCATATTATAAATGTAATAATGTCCAATATTATACTACTAAATCATTAGATTAGCAATGCTTTTATATAGTTACACAGTAGATAAGGTTGGAAAAAAGTCAAAGGTCCATCTAGTCTATTCAGTCCAACCTAGAAGGTCAATTTACTAAAGGCAATATGCTGGTTATTTACACATAAGAAATTTGTACTTTGCCAAGAGGTTTCCCCTCAGCTTAGTAAATGCGGTGAAATTTCATTTTGCAAAGAATACCAAAAAATGTGCAAGGAAACTAAAAGAAACATTACATTGTTGAATTCAGGAAAGCTGTAGGTTTATGACAGATCTGTTACAATTAATTCCATTTTGCCTCTCATTTGCTTGTGTTTGGGCACCTTTAGAAACAAATGGCATCCCATTCCGCATGATTTACCCACAATGACTATATTCAGAACAGCTGTAGATGTATCACAGATCATTGAAAATACCTAGCTGTTCCTCTAATGTTCAATGCATACTGTATAATTAGAATAAAATGGTTTGATCTCAAGCTTGGAGGGTAAATGAATTATAAAAAATAATGATCTGTATCTGGAAAGGATCAGAGGAGGCTTTTGCTTTACACAAGAGGTAAGGTGCCAACTGCCAATGCAGAGAATAGGCAGAGTGAATTGTGTTCAGAAATATAGTACTGCCTAATCATAGGGACATAAACAGTAATATTTATGGAAATGCTTATCTGGCTTCAATACTTGTTCCTCAATATTCATTTTCTGCATGCTTGTTCCTGGTCTGTGATTCAGCAGTAGTAGGCCAGACACAGCTAGGCAACTAATATTTTCAGAAGGAGGTAAGCAATGGCATCCTCTAAATTTCTCTGCTGTTTTATTTTTAAGCTGAATTCCAGGCAACTATAAAAGACACACGTTACTGGGTATTAAAGGAGAACTATGGGGTCAGTGTTTTCCCCCATAGTTCTCCTTAGGGTAACGGGAGGACACAAACTAGCGTCCTCCTGTTACCCTAAGCTCAGTATACCGCGAGCTACAGCTCGCGGTATACTGAGACGCCGCAGCCGGACTGCAACTTGGTATCTCCTGCAATCCCCTATACAGCAGCACTTAGGCTGGGAGAGGAAGAAGCAGGGCTGTGAGCCAGTCAAGTGTGATGCAAGCAATATTGGCAAGGAAAATGCTAATAGGATGAGAGAGCAGAGTGAGCAGGGTAATAGGCTCAGAAGTCTGCTGCTGCTCTTTCACTGTTAAGTCAGCCACCTGGAGGTGGAGAAACCACTGCATTCCTTAACTGTAAGTTGTGTTATTCACCGGGCTGTGCGGCTGGATTTTGTATAGCTCAAGAATGGATGGACAGAATTACAATTATTTTATGTGTATTTAGATGTTCGCCTGGAGTTCATCTTTGAGTTATAGGCACACAATGAAAAGACTGTAAAATACATTTATTTCTTATAAGATGCATTGCCTACTATCTAGTGTCTAGTTACACTGTATGCAACAAAACATCTTAACTGGAAGTGATGGGTGAGAGGAGAGTGTGAGTAGGTAACATCTGTAACATCTGTAAACCACATTTATCCCTTTCTAGGGAGAGACTTTCATGTTGTTTTTGATCACTTATTTTTCTCACCTGAATTTGTATTTTGTAATAACAATTTCTTCACATCTTTCAGACACTGCTAAGCTGTATTCATTTTTATAGATATTACTTACATTTTATTTACCTCCCAATCTGGTTTCCTGCTGTTTACAGCTAGAGATGATACCCTGTGACAGCTGTAGATCGTTCATAGTGCTGGGCAATTTGCATATTTATTATGAGTTATTTAGCATATTTGGACGCTATCCCTTTGTACTTATTCCATCATGTACATAGAACAATTATGCTATACCATGTTACAGTAACCCATAGTAATCAACGAGAATGAATCTCTTAGATAATCTTTCAACAGTAAGTTCAAATTTAATTTGTCCAGTGAAATGAAAAAATGATTGTATTGATCAGAAGGCACCGGCACAATCAAATGAAACCGTTTAGCCAGCACTACATGTGTTAAGCAGCAGATTTTTTTTTTATTCAAGTGCACAAGCAAACATAGTTTTTTGCATGTTCACTTAAGAGCTTATTCCTGACATGGCAAATTGCTTGTCTTGCGTTGGGGCTGTGCTGGAAAAAAACAGCTAGTGCAGCTCCAATGCAAGACAAGGCAATTTGCTGGTCACAAATGGTCACTGTTTACACCACCACGCTGTGATGCAGTACTGCATGCAGCACTTTTTCTTCATCTCAGGTGAATGCAACAGAGTAAAACCTCCTCGCCTCATGCTGTGCCCATAGAACTTAATGAACTTTCACTTCTGATGCTGGGATTGCCGCATCATCATTCTGCAAGCTACCGCACACCAATGGAACTGCAGCCCCTTGTTCTTTTTTCATCCTCTCTTTCCTGATATGCAGTGTTTTCTTCAGAAAACATACTCACCTGCCCAGCGCATCCAGCATTGTCCTGCTGTGATCCACTGCCAGAGGCTGGGTCCTGCCATCTTCCCTTCTTATGTTATCAGGAGTCAGCTGTCTCTACCGGGTTTTTGCAGCTGGCTCCCGATGAGCCACCGTCAGCTCCATCCTCCAGCCGCTGTGTGTCCCTGCTCCTGCAGCCATCTGGGATACATGATGGGGATATCCCAGGAGGCGGCAGGAGCAGAACATGGCATGTTCACCTAAGGAGGCAGGCAACATTTTAAAAAATTTTTGAACGTGAAGGTCCACTTTAAGCTAGCAAGTCGGCCTTTCCACACTTCCAAAATGAAATAATAATGTCAAGCATGGAAAAAGTATAGGAGTAAGCTTTGCCAGGAGAGATGGAGAAGGTGAGGTTGACAAATCACAGTGTGATGTAAATAGAATGTATTAAATTTGTATACAGAACGTACTCTCAGCTGAGGGCCATGGAAAGTGATAGGGAAGTGTTATCTACAAATATTTCCCTATTAGTTTAAATAAAAAAACATATTAGACACTTTTGTTAACTTCCAATAAATTGACTAATGAATAAGACATTTGATAAACTACAGATCCTCTTAAAGTAATGACGTGCATACAGATGAAGAGTATGCTAGCTTGAACTATGTTACTCATACTAATAGTTTCACTTGGCTTAACATCAATATAAATGCTCACAGAGGGGAGACTGCACATTTTAGGTTCCGCAATCATCAGTAAGTGTATAGGTTTATCAAATCTAAAGGGTAATCAGATCGCTTTACACACAACAAATTGTAGGAATGTGAATTGAAGAGCTACCCTTCGTTTAATAGTCCAGATACATCTTTCTTCAATGTAGGGTTGAGGCGTGCAGTATAGAAATGGCCACCATGTCTGGGGGCTCATACAAATGTCCACTTCATCAGGGCCGGCTAAGAGAGAATATGTATCACGACTGTGAAGTATGAAATGGGATACCATTTTCCAATGTGTGAAAACGATAGAGCTCTTCACCAGCTATTATAGCAACCAAATCACAAAACAGTCACAGAAAGCACTTATGGTCTTACGTTACATTTTCTGATTTCATACTACTGATATTCAGACAGAAAGGGAAAATACTATCTGATTTTATGCATTACCTGAAAATATTTCGATAATGGTTTAAAGGTCCGCTTAGGGCTCCTGGCTGTGCAAATATATATAGGTATGCTTCCATAACTTCCTCTGAGAACCTGCAACTTTGTTTCCTGATGCCAGTTGCATCACTGGTAAAAAGATCTTTAAGGATCTAGAAAAAAAATCAAAATACAGACACAATATCAAGTCGCAAACAGATACACAAGAAACGCAAATTCTCTTTAAGTATGCCAGTCACCTCAACACAACTGAAGCAGCAAATTGTGGTCTAACCAAGTAGTTATATTAGCATAGCCCATTGATTTTGTGGAATAAGTTCCTTTTATTATACTGTTATATATTAATGCTATGTAGTAGTCACTTTATATGAGGAATCTCCAGCTTTAAATAAAATAAAGTCCCTTTGTGTAAAATAAGAAGTAGTCCTTTCCTTTACATCCACCCATGTCACCTGCTGATTACACAGTTTATATAAACAAGCACTAATTAATTGTGCTCAAAAAGGCACAAGTCTGTCCCCATAGGAGGGCTGCTAAACCAGATTTTATATGTCTTTTGGCAAATACATCCATCAGATAGCGTTGATTCATAACTTTTGGGACTAGAACCGAAATGGGACACAACCCTTTGAAACTGTACTTATTGTCCAAACACAAGCACGCCGCCCATTGAATGACGATTGCCAAGGCATTAGTATGTAATACCATCAGTGTGTCTTAGCAATCTTATTGCGAATAATTAGGCTGTGTGAACATACTCAACTAACCACCAGGTAAATTTCCCTATAGTAGCTGTATATTTTACAGATAATTGATATATGTGTTCCTAAGTTAAAGTATAGCAAAACATTTAAAAAGTGGACTGATTTGCAAACACTCACTGAAATAAAAATGCATGTTCTAATTCTATAAACTATTACAGAGAAAACAGCAGCACAACAATCATGAGGCAACAAATGATGACCCAACAAGCCCTATGGAAGAGCATTAATAAATAAACTGTTAACATACCAGTGAATTGGTGCTTGGAACTCATTTTACCTGGATTAAACAGCTCATCTATTCAGTTTCTTAGGGTAAAGTCCAAGCAGTGCAATAACCAAACAGAATGGTAGATCATGAAAATAAGGGCAGTATTTTTTATCCCCAAATGATTCCTTACCAAGTCTAGAGTCTGTTACATTCATTTAAAATACACAAGCTTATGAAAAGCCAAAATAAAAAACCAACAGGCCATCAATAAACTCAATTGAGTGGCCCTGAGGGCAGCCTATATGCATAAATCTCATTACATAGTGGTCCAAGACGGCATCAGCTATAGAAATAGAAAGGGCCTGAGTGAAAACTAAAATAAGTCATATGATCAAAGGCAAAATCTGAACTAGTTTGTCTTCAAATAAAACATCAAAACTGTGAAATTCTAGCCAAAACATGTTTCTACTACTGGATACAGTGGGTTTGATTTACTAAAGGCAAAATAGGCTGTTCACTTTGTAAGACAAATTTCACATTGCAAGGGAATTTTTCCTTAGCTTAGTGAATCTAGTGAAAATTTACTTTTCAAAGAATACCAACCATGTGCAAGGCATATTAATTCCAGTGTGACAGGCTGTTATTAGTACCTGTTTCTTCGCTTGGAAATTTCTTCAACCTTATGGACTACAAACTTTTAAAGGATCAATGTGGCATCCAAAACACTACTTTATGTTCATAATGGAATAAAAGAGCTGTTTTATCTGCATAAACATAGCCCTCGGTACCAACTTAACATCAATACAATTGCATTCTAAAGACCGCGTCATAAGAAAATAGTGTCAGGCTGAAGAAGAACTTTTTAAATAAATATGTGGGACATGCTACACCAGCAGAACACTTTCAAAGTGTGCTTTCTTACCTAAATTTTTTTTAGTATATCCTTAAAGCAATTTTAGTATAGCCACCTAGCCAAATACTCCACTTCTGTTTTTCATACTACCTAATACAATATATTCACATGTTGTAATCAGAGTTTATGAGTGCAGACTATAAAACATAAAATATATATGTTTAAAAGCAGGATTTTTAATTTTAAATAGGCTTAACGCACAAAAAAAGTATAAACACATTTGGAAAGCAGCGGCACTCAAATGATATACACTTATTTATATGTGTCATTCTTTAAAGGGGTGGTCCACTTTGGGACAACCTCTCCTTAATCCAATAAGCCCCATGTGCACAACATAGAGAGCAGCACCTTTTTTTAAATAAAGATTACTAACAACATGCCTCATTCTCTAGAATGAGGCATGTTGTTGAACCAAAATTATTTGAAGGTCCATAAAGGTACCCAAACATAAGGGATTCTAATAGTTGCACATCAAATGATCAGGCCTGAAGAAGGTGCTTAATAAGCGAGAAATGTTCAAAACCAACATGATTAGCATCCTAATGGGTTCTCTTGGTATTCATACAGCTGAAATCCTTGTACAGGCAAGTTATAATCCTATGGATCTTCCTTGTATGGGTACTGTACCCATATAAAATGAAATGAAGAACCGTGGATGGTTAGAGCTCAACTAGGAACTTTATTACAATCTAGAGCTAACTGTCAAGCACTTCTCATAATTAGGAGGTTTAGGAACAGGGACACAGATTAAGGAAGGTCACCAAAAGTCACAACCCCCTTTTACCTTTCAATCAATACAGCTTTCAAAGGTATAAAAAATGAGGCATGCGCTAATCTTCCATTTCTCTATCATCCATTGAGGGGCACAGCTATAGATTGAGCTATGAATTGAGCCATCTAGGTTTCAAAGTTTTCACCTCCAAATGGTTCTGAAGCCAAAAGGACTTGAAGACTCTCAACATTTTTGTTCGTCCTCACAAATGTATGGATGGAGTCTATTTAGTCACTTATTGTCTGCTTCCATCAACGGGGGCAATAAGTCATTGAATAGACTCAATTTGGAACTTTTGGGGATAAACAAAGGTGGTTGGATTCAGAACCATAAACAGGTTGGTGAAAAAACCTTAAAACCTAGGTTGCTTAAAAAAACATATTTAAACCGAAAACAAAAATGTATCATATGTATTACGGTATGTATTATGTAATACTCAGATGTGGCAGCTGCTAAAGTTTTTTTATGCTTTTTTTCTTTAGTTTCACCCAGTGCTAAGGCCAGTAACACACTTCCTGTCTTAGGGTGGCTCCACTCTATAGTGGAGCAATGGATCCACCCTTGAACAGCATCATTGTCCATCTGTGCAGAGGGTAGTGTTAGATGCACTAGCTAATTTAAATATACTTGACTATAAAATCAAATCTGAATTCCAGCAAACACTTTTTGAGTCATTTGTTTACCCCTTTTGGGATAAAAGGTTTACACAAATGAATAAAAGATGACTGTTGTAAGTACCCCTGTAAATTTTAAATGGTTTGTCTCAATTCTCTATCTGTCACTTTTGTCAGACAACTTGGTCTGTTAAAGGAAGTTTAAAAATAACCGACTTACTGGCTGAATCATCAGGTATAAATACAGGAAAAAAAGCATATAAAAAGCAAACAAATGCAGCCACCACATCTATGGACTGGTAAACTGCAACATATTCATTTGTTTTGCTTTTGGGTTAAGATATACTTTAATCTAAAGCTGTGTTCCTCAATGGACTCCGATAAAAGGATTTTACAGTGAGTACAAAAATCCTATTTTTCAGTGTGATAAACAATTCACTATAAAACTGTAAAATAAAAATAACGCAAAGGGGTTGTTATAATGGCCACATCATGCCCAAAGCACAATACATATAACTTAAGTGAGCTGGATATGGAATGCTGATTCTTTTTACATATCTGTTAGACTGATTTTTAAATAATGTGTGATAACTTTGATTAATGACATCTGCAATGTAACAGTCTAGGTCAGCTCACCTTGTAATCATTTATAGTATACATGAGTTCGGGGAGCCAAGGCATTTGGAAAAAGAAGTAGTAACCAGATTTAATCAATTGTGAAGGGTGTCGTAGAATATATTCTGAAACAAAAATGCCCATGAATTATTTTCTAAACCACTGCTGAATTATTGACTTCAAAATATAGAGAAAGGGTGGAAGAAGTATAATCTGTGAAGGGTAAGGCCAAGGTAATGTATCAAACGCAAAGCATTGTCAGACAGAATGAGGATGTTGGACTAATAGAATTTCACTATACAGTGCAGCAAGGTTCCCGTTTCATTCAGTACTCAGAACACAAACACCTAGAAACAGAGATCTTTGATACTCATAGAATTTATAGAACATGTAAGATGAAATTCTTAAGATGAAGCAAGGTGTACTATGCACAATATATAAAATATGTCATGCAGAGAATTTCACTGTTTGATATGCATGGTCTAAGCAATCAATACTGAATCCCCAATTTTAGAATCCAGTTTTTGGTCATACATGTTAAAAACGTCCTTATTATTCCACAAGTGCTAAGTCTAATCCTTAGTAAATGATCAAGATACTGAAATTTTTAAGTGAAAAATAATATATTCAATATAAGTCTGTGAAACATAAAGAGTACAAAAACTGCTTTACTACAGGTTTAAGCAGTTTTTATACCCACATTTATAGGTTACAAGGGCTTAATGTAAAGCGGACTAATCTAAAATGTGTGTTGGGGAAGATACATTTTTATTGGTTACCATCGGTTATTACATAAGCAAACTGATAATATATATATATATAAAAATAAAATCACACACAGTATATATACATACATACATATATACCTATACCTTAAAGTGATAATTTGGGATTCAATATTAGCTAATAAATTAATTTTTTTTCCCGAAAACAGCATGTCTTCTTTTCTCCGACCATCAGATTTATTCAACAAGTCAATGCAATGACAAAGTACAAAATGCATAGCAGCCAATTAAATATATGTGTACAGTATTCAGAGCTATAAAGAGATGATATCTCATTGGTTGCAGTTGGTTGCTACTATTTGTTCATAATCAATGCTCTTTGCAAGGTGTCTATTTAATATAATTTACTGATATTTGTCAAAATTGGGAACATTAGCATTATCCATAGCTTTTGTAGGGTCTCCATATACATTCATGAGGGTACCTTTCTAGGCAGCCATGTTCAGTATGCAATGAACCTTCTGTACACAATACTAATTAGCAATAGCTATATAAGTCACTGAGGCTCTGTGCACGTCCATGAACAGGACATGTGTCTAAATTCCTTTCACATCAACTACACGAGTAAAACTCCAGTATTTAACATATAGAGAATGTTGTCAGCAATTACCTGACCTTGCGTTAATCACTTTACAAATCAAGTCTACCAAGCCTAATTTCTGCCTGTACGTCTCCAAAATATTGGATCCACAAACCTAATTTTATTAAGTTAATGTATTTATCTATACACATATAGTAAAATAATAATCTGTCAAATTATCACTCTCAAATAAATTCAACTCGCCAGATAATAGCACATGCCATTTTAAAATTGAAAGAAAGAAGAAGGAGTTATCAACATATTATGGATATTTTATCAAAATAATACAAAAATGTTTATTTAAGGTGCATAAATGTTTGTTTGGCTTCACAACCATATAATTTTAATGGTTTGGTTAGTTAGTACTGGAGGGAAATGCAAATTTTTTTTATGTCTCTGATAATAAATGTTGTATAATTTTGGCATCCCTAAAAGGTAAAATGAGCCCGTTGGTGATTCAAACAGCTAGCATGCAGCCAAAGCTGAAATGACTATTGTAGATAGCCTGTACCTTTCATTGACTTTAATATTCTTTTAAACAAGATAGTAAAAAAAGAATATTAGTATCTACATTGTTTTCTTGTGTTTCCTTTTCGGCAAATGAGCAGAGTTTATCTGTTAATCTGAGAGTTGCATCTTCCTCACTCTCATGTCTCCACATAATCAATACTTACAATGTTATATCAGCAAAGATTGAAAGCAAAAGCATTTCACCTCAAGGTCAATGCAATTTTGTCAGCATGACCAATACATGCTTGAATAAAACAGAGCCAGCACAAACATCAGTTACTGACTGGAGATCAGAAATCGAGTGCTGGTACTTCACAATGTGACTTCTTCAACACAAAACACAGGCTTCGTAATTAATAATCTAACTGCAACAGTATCCAACACTGTCTCAACTTCTGGATATATAACATTACTTGTGTTATCTAAGAACCAAAAATAACCGCAACATGGTCTACCAACACAGCTCATGTTATAAAATGGTAAGCTTTGTGGGGAAAAACATAAAGTTTTTCTAAACTCAAAACTTTTTTTTTTAGTTTAGGAAAGAGTAAGGAAGCATTAGTAACCCTGTCAGGTTTTGTCTTGTCCTCGCTGAGCAGATTCACCCTCCCTATTTGTCCTGATGACTAATGTCACTGAAAAAGAAATAGAGGCAAATGGGGCGCTTGTTGTGGTTACAACTGTTATGTTGTGTCTATGGGACAGGAAGTAAAGGGAAAACCCCCAATGAGATACAGATGGTAAAAAAACTGACAGGGATTGTAACCCTTCCCTATTATGTACAAAACCTAAAAAAGGTGGCTTTCTTAGTAAAGGAGCAGTACTTTACTTCGTAATATCATAGCTGCCCTACTGATGATTGATAATCTGATTACTGGTAAGTAAGTGATCTACAAAATGAATGAAGCATAAGCGGAGGAATCTGTGAACCGCGGGTTCTCAGGGACAGATTTCACTCCAGCAAGCCCTGAGAAGAACAATTAACAGTACAGTAGTGTAAACATGGGTTACCTTTACTACTGCAGGAACACACAATGTTACAGAAGATAACGTCTGCTTTTGTATTTTTTCAATATATGCTCAGTTTACATTGCCCAGGTTTACTTTAAGCTGGTCATTGATATGAATGTCACCTGATCTGGCCCCTTTCTGTTAGCAATATCCTATATAGGGTCTGAAAAGGCTTCTCTTAGGTTCAACTGCCTCTATAAAGAATATGTATTGCATGTTTGTATGATCATGAAGTAGCAAAGCCAGAAAAATATCTTCTGACTGTTGAGTTCTCCCTGCATGTTTGCCCATTGTATGAGGTTTATCAACACCTTTACACACATATTCTTTGAGGGGCCTTAATAGGACCTAAAATACACACAACCAAAATAAAAATACCTTATCTCCTATGTCTTAGGTTCATTTTTATTAGAAAGTAACAGCGGCAAAAGAAAAACTTGTTCCCGGCCAACATGCTGTAGTGAAGGACTTTCTCTTTGTGTAGAAGCAGTGTTTTGTTGCTGAAGTCCAACATGCCCCCTGCTGAGCCAAAGCTAGAGCTCCCCAATCAGCAGAGAGCAGGAGCTTTGTTGACTGCAGCGCTATAGGTTCTCAGCAGAGAGCACAATGGACCTCTGCAGAGAGACCACTGCATTCACCCAGACAGCAAGGGTCATTCTTTACAGCATGCTGGCTGGAGGAAGAATTTTCTGATGCTGAGAACTGTGGCTGCTTTCTAAAGAAATTGAACTATATAACTTTACAGATCTTTTATTTTGATGTGCCTGGAATGCATTTAGGTTACAGTCCATGTACCCATTGCACTCCTGACCGCCCATCCATCAGAATAACATGGGTGCATCGGTAAATATGTCTATTTATTGACGTACATGCATAGATTTCCATGTGCTGTGAGTATGTAATAAACTCCCAGAGATACACATTACATTACAAATGATGTGGGTCATGCTGTGTTACTGACATTCTGATAAATAATACATTGTAAACCATGGAAGCCTCAACAGTTAGTAGTGCCTGAGGAAAATATAATTTATTTCCAGACATGCTCCCAGAGATGTAGAAGATGCATTTCTTATTTATATGTTTATATCCCATTTCACAAGAGCAACAAGCGGCTGCTAGATAGAACAAGGATGGAACCCTGCCGAGATCATAGCAGGGTGAGCTAAATATAGTTTATTGAGAACTAATTTGTACAGATAAACACATGCATGTGTGTTTGTGTGTTCTTTATATAATAAGCATTAAAAGAAATACATTTAGAAATTCATTTTTTGTCTTGATTAATGAGGCAGAAAGATCAGTAGCCCATAGATGCCAATAAAAAAAAAATAACCTTTCATATTTTTGACAGTTGTAATGTTTAAATAAAAGCTGAAATCAGACTCTTAAGTTGTTATGGGTTATGTTGCATTGCTTCTTGTAAATAATAAATATGTCTTCAGATATGAATCCAACAAATAAACTGAAATTCCTGTTGATTTTACTAAATTATATTGCTGTACAGAGCTAAAGCTTGGCTGCCTACCACACATAGAGCCACTCCAGGCAAGAAGGTAAATCAAACCATTAACTGCTAATGCTATTAAAATATTGCCACAAAGTATGAAAATTCAGTCAGTCTACCATATAATCTGAGGCATATACAATCAATTGCAACCAGCTTGAAAGTGAAAAAAAATGTGGTGGCTGCCATTGCTGCCATCCTTCTGAAAATGTTAGTTGCCTGCCTACTATGCTGACTCCACTAGCGTTGAACCTTTCTGAGTCACTAACCTGGAAAAAATATGCCGATCAGCAAAGCCAGAAGAAAGTTAGATCTTATCAGTTGCCTGCAAAATAACATAATAAAGATGAAAAACGAAAAAAAGGAAAATAAAGGAAAATCACTGATGTTTCAGAGACACCCAGGTATCCTTTCTCAAGGTGAGAAAGGGCACCAGTGTGTCATTAGTGGTTTCCTTATATTCCTTCTTTCCACCACTAATTTTCTACCACCAACCATTCCTTTTTTCGAAACCACCAACATTTCCGAAAAACACAGGTCCCCTTTCACAAGGTGAGAAAGGGGACCTGTGTGTTTCTGAAACGATGGTTCCTTTAGTCTTCGCTTTTTTGGGGGCTTTATTATATTTCGCTGCTAAGACCTCAGTAAACATGTGTGGTCAATACCTCTTGGCATCCTGACTGTTTCTGTTGTTAGCTTTTTATTATTGTCTGTTTTCTTGTTATAGATTTTTACTCATTTCCTGTGTTTTAAAACATAGCTCCTAAAGCAGAAAGTGAGAGACAATCTCTCTACTGGAGCCCTACATAAAAGTTAAACCTGACATGGGTTCTTACTCTTCCCCGCTATATACAAAAGACCGAAAAAAAAGTTTGGGCTGTAGGTATTATTAGTTGGGGGTGGTACCAACATCCCTGTCAATTCCATAAAATAAAGAAAAAAAAAAGATTACAGACACATAATTAGGGTTGCACAGATACCAAGTACAGTACTCGGTACAAGTACGATACTTTTGAGCTCCAAGACTAGACTAGGAGGCAGCTGTCATTTGTGAGGAGGACACGGAGCTCCTGGGATTTGTACATCTCTGTTTTAATGTACGATTTTGTTTTTATAAATATAAATAAAGGGATGCACAGATACCAGTTTTGCGAGTACGAGTACTGCTACTTGCTGAGTACTTACAAGTACGAGTACTGATACATTTTTGTTTATTGTCATGTGACAGTTTTTCTAAAACAATACTGACTAATGATTTCAGGACAGTGGTGGAGCACCAGAGCTAGGTCCCAGCTGCAACCGCTGCAACCCTCGTAGTTCTCATGAAAATGCCAAGTATCTGCACTGATACTCGAAAAGTATCTGTGCATCCCTACGTGACATAATACTATATGAATAAAATCATTATTATATTGACCTATTAAAATTATAGTATAAAAGCTTGGTGGCAAGGCTAGTACAAAATTTGTTTGCAATACCTCCACAGCAGCATCACCATTGACAAGTACATGAATTTACATATCTATAAGAAGGAAAATATATACAATCAATCTGTCACTCAGTGGTGGTACAAGCCACCCATTGAGTAATACAATGATTGTATATATATTTCTTTTTATAGATATGTGAGTCATGTACTTATTAATTGTGTGGCCCTTGTGGAGATATTGCAAACAAATTTTATACCAGCCTTGCTTAAAAATGTTTATATTTCAATATTACTAGGATTGGTCAATAAAATATGCATATAGTGTGATGTGTCTGTAATCTAACAAAGGTAGCTTTAAGGTCTCATAAATCATTTAGCTATAGATACACTTTAAATGGTGAAGAATAATAACTCTAACCTGTAACCTATCCCTAATCCTGAACCAGACCCAAACACTTGACTCTACCACAAGCTTTTGACCATTGCCCTTTAATCAATACCCCCACCCCACAGAGTGTAGCCCACCAACTCAAATAATTATCTTTCTCCTCCATCCAGTGATCATTGTGTGAGGCCTTGCCTAGACCTACTCAGCCTTTTCTCAGAAAATGTCTTCCTCTTAGTGCACATGAGTACTGCTGTCCTATTTATTCTTATTCTTACAGACAATTCATACTCATAGCAGTCTCCAGCGGTTCAGCAGGCAATGGTCTACCCTTGGGGATGAACAAGGCTGTGGCATGCATGCACACTAAGCAGAAAACATGTGCAATGCCAGTTAGAGTGCACTATAAGAGGACAAAGATTGCTGGATCGAGGTATTTGAGTTGGTGGGCTGCATCCATGGAAGTTGAGGGAAATGATTAAAGGACAAGTATACCAAAAGTGCAATTACTAACTTAAGGGTGTAACTATAGCCATAGTAGACTATGCAAGTGCTATGGGACCAGAAGTCCCTTGGTCCAGCACTGTCCAGATGCATGATAATGTATGAAGGTATCAGTTGTATTTTGGTATTTAATTATAATGAAACTCCGAATGTATAGTTTGGGGACCTATATACAAGTGCTATGAAAGCAATTATTATTCTGTATCAATAAAGGAATTGCTTTTAGGATGGATAATAGAGAGTTCAGGGTAGCGTATAACTGGTTTTGCTTGGGGCCCAATCACCAATAAATATAACTTTGAATTAATCCTTAACACTTAAAGAAAACTTACCACCAGACCTAAAAGTGTCATTTTAAATGTTAGGGTAATAAAGTTTTACTTGTAGTTACTGTTGCCCCCTCTGGGCAATGATTTTATTTATAACCTGTAAAGTTATAAGCAGTAAACTTTGTGCACAGCATATCTTACTTACTGGTAATGTTGCCCCTATACAAGTACTCACCGCTGTCAGTTTGCAAAACCTGTGTCAAGGCCAGAGGGGCGTAGCTCTACATGACACTTATAGGTAAGGTGACAGAGTCTCTTTAAAGGTACACTTTAAAAATGAATATATATAGGAAGTGTAGCCAACCTTTTCAGTTCTTCAGTTTTTCATCTAGGTGTTACTTTAGTGCAACAGTAAACTTTACTCAGTAATCTGTTGATCTGTAAACCCATGCATGTAATTTAGGAATACAATAAAACACACCCACTGTAGCCTACTTGACGTGTTACACATATAGAAAGCCTCAGTATTTGCTGAATAGTGTAGAAAAAGGTTCTAGTACTAAGAAGTTTCAGACATATACCAATGAGACTCAGATATGAATTGGTTGGTCACCAAAAGTGTTGTAATTGTTCTATGCATCTTTGGAAGGTAACCTTAAAGTTTTCACACATTGGTAATTGGTTCCTAAATGGTTGGCAACCACAAACCCTTATGTTCTCAGCTAGACTTACACATATTCTTATTACCAATTAAAATTGCAAAGGCTTATTGGCTTACTCAGGGAAAACTATACCCTTGGATCTTGCGTAAGTTCTGATGGACTATGGTAAATGAGAAGCTTTCTAACGTTCTCCTGGATAAAGAAACTATTTGAAAAAAATTGGGAACCATGTATCAGATATCTTCAGAATTAGGTTAGTGTTTGCAGGTGTGGATTGGATGGATGAGGTGCAACCTTTTTTTCTAGGGCTTTTTTTTTTACTTCTTTGCCCTTTTTTACTTTTCATCCTTCTGCTAGGCTTGGAAGATCATTTTTTCTCTTCCCATCCCTTCTAATCTTCCCTTACGGATCCCTTATATTCTTGGTAACCCTAGACACCCTCTTGGGGTCACTTGTTTTGATGCCTACATAACCAATTGAAAGAGAGGGGAGATAAAAACGTAATGTTGCAAATTGTTTACAGTATTACTTTATTTGTAGAATGTATGTAATAAAGTCATTATAATGATGAAATATGTATTTCAATAGCAACTCTATAACTCCTTAAAATGCCAACTTGTCTTGCCACTGGTAACCATGGAAAAGTAATACAAGTAATAAAAGGAAAGGTATTAAAAGGAAACGACTATGCATCCCCTTTAATGGGAAACTGAGGGAATTTCTTTATTTTAGCCAATTTGCAGTATTTGCTGGATAGTGTAAGAGATTGCTTTTCCTGGCCTGGGTTGCACTTTAACCTGAAGCCTCACACATAATCATACCCCTTAACTTAACCCATAAAATTAAAACTCAACACTCATTTCATACTAACTCTAAACCCTAAACTCAACCCTCAAAACAAACCCTGACACTATACCAATAAACATGAATCGGATTTCAATTCATGTACAGTCAGTTATGGGATTTCTGTATATTGTGTAACTGGCTTGCATTTGAAAATCATCAGCGCGCTTTAGGTTGCTTTTGCATTAACATTTACTTGTATAGAAAGAAAATGAGGCAAATGCTCTTTTAAATATGCATAGACACTAATTTAATACTTAACCTAATTTTTAACCCTAAATTAACCCTTATTGGGCACCAGACCTAACAGTGCTCAACATTAAGAATTCTGCACCAAATTCGGACAGTGTTCAAATTTTGGTACCAAAGACAACCGCATAGAGCATTGATCTAAAAGAACATACCGCCTTGTATTTTCAAAGGCTCAGATTCACAACTATATGGAAAATAGGGACACCAACACCAACAACCATAGTGATTTAGTTATAGGGACCGCCATTTGAAGAAGATGAATGCCAGGATAAACACTGAAGACACAATAAAGGCAAAAAAGGCTGTGTCCCTGAGAGTCTTTAATTGCACTTTTTAAAAAATACTTTTGACTGTAGCATATAAAGCTATTAAAAACACAAGATAATTCAAGCATAACTGTATGCCAACTATAACTCTAACCAAAAGTGTAAACTACTCCTACCTCTAATAAGGGTCTGAACCACAAAATTACATTTCTAAAACACTTGCATTGGCATAATTTCAACCAGTGAGATAGCTGTAACTATTATGGCTTTGATATATACACTCAGTTTGGTAAAATATCTGATGACAGCAAAGCAATGTACTTTTTTCAAACTCACCTGTAAAAACAGTTGGATGGGGAAAACTCAAAACTATAAGCTTGGTGACCATCTCTGGATAACATATGGCAATTAACCAAGCAATCATCCCACCCCAGTCATGGCCAATAAGGACACATTTGGAATAACCTGAAAAACAATAGGTAACTTATTTATAGCTAGACTCATCACATAGTTAATTTGCAAAATAGTGGGCATGCACACTAATGTTTAAAGTAGGATCATTCTACAAACCAGGCCTGATATAAGTATATTATAGAACCTACAAACAAGACGGCTCTGTAATTTTGATTGTGGTTTGATTTGTGATCTTTGCCTATACAAATCCTGAGTTTTACAAATGATGTGACCAACCCAGTAATTGGCCTGTAATATTTTGGCATGGTAGGGACCAACATGCGTACAGCAGAATAACTTTTTATGGCTTGTAAATAATTTCCAGTGTTTGAGAAAACTGTCATAACCTTTGAATGCTTGCTCCTTTTTCTCTAGGAAAGGGAAATATTCTGTAACCATGCCTACATCAAAGGTGAATGATAACTGAGCTGTATGGAAAAAACAATTGGATCGTGGCACAGACAGGAAAATATTATGTAGTAAGTAGATGATGGATATGTTTATCCACAGTCTGCAGGGTTTAGTTTTACATTATTTCTTTTAGAGTAGCTTTTTATTTGTTTTAGTAGAAGATCATCCAATGCTCATATGAAAGATAACAGATACATTATACAGTTGTTTACATTGCAGATATCAAGGCACAGATAATACAGATCAGTTTAATTACATATTGTTGGTCTTCTTTCTCAAGACAAAATGTTGTAACATTGTCTCCTTACAACCATAACATTTTCAATATAGCGTGAAAATTCATCCTTCTATTGAGATAAATTAATTGCAGATAATACCTTGTGTTTCCAGGTGTCTTAGAGACAATGGCCACATCATTTTACAACCCTTTTGGCTTGAGTGCCTGTGTGAGTAAAATGCATCAGGGGTCTCAATTCATGTCATGTGTTATGTCTTTATAAAAGAATAATGAAGGAGTTTCGACATAGCTGGTGTGCTGTCATCCAATTTTCCTTTACATTGGCTGTCAGCAAACCAGCTGGACAAGCTCTTGGTTATACCAGGCAAGCATGGACTAACTTGTCACACTGTTTTTCTTACCTTTTATTATATGATAGGATAACCTAAAGACAGACAGCTGAATTACAAATATAGGGGATATCTAGGAGATTGGAAATTAACTCCATCAATTGATTCCAGAATGGTTTAGGTTCAGTGCATCCCCAAGTCATATGGAGGAAATTGCCTGGGTATTTATGGTGCTTACTCAAAGTTATTTGTTATATTAATTTTATTTATTTACATCTTTCCCATCTTATATAATCTTACAGCTGTATAGTAAAGGTGATGGAAACACCAAATCATCTCGACTTTGGATGACATAACTGTTTTTTTTAATCATCTTTCTTTATATGCAGTTTTTCAATGTGTGTGGTTGTAATTGAAACTTCTTCTCCACCAAATTGGATGTGGGCTGAGCGAACGCAAAACCATGAACGTGGGAGGTGGTTGTCAGGATGCCAGGGGTGTCGCCCCCCCACGAGGTCAGAGGGTACGGCATAGGGTACAGACCTCCCTTCAGCCTGGCAGACCCACGGACGCTCCGGCGGCCACTACGCGTGCGCGAGCTACGCGCCGGGTGCACGTGCGCAGTACACAGGCTGCGTGCGCATCCCGGGGCCGTGCTCGCAACGCACATGCACCTGTTTGAGCTTCAGTTGTGGCCTTGCTGGGGGAGGTTCCCCAGCCCACACACACACACGCCTTTCGCCTGCCATTGGCCCTCGGGAAGGGAGGCCTCCTGGTCGCCTCGAAGACCAGGGGGCGGACTCACACCCCCTGGCTATAAAAACCTCGCCAGAGCCCTGGCTCAGTGCTGAGTTATTCCACCTCTTGGTGTGACATACGAAGCTCTCCTCCTATGTGCCTTGCTGCCTGTTACCTGAACCCTCTGCTGACTTCCCGTGTACCGACCCTGGACCGACTATCGCCTCTGACCCTTGCTGCCTGCCTCGACCTTGGATTGCGCTCGACTACCCCTTTGGATTGCCCTTTTGTTACCTTGCCTCCGGACTTTTTAGGCTGCTTCCTGCCAGCGGGTTCCCTCCGTGCTGCTTGCCCGCGGACGCTCCCGACAGTGGTATTGTTCTTGCAACGGCAAGAAACTTTTTTTTTTCACTTGAAATAGATTTTTATGAAACGTTTCAGAAATTACAAAGGTTCACATCTTGATGCAGATAATGTTGCATTGTTGTACAATAAAGATGTTCAGTTAAAACCATGTCTGCGTTGTTATTATGGCTGCGCCGCAAGTTACAGAAAATTTTAAAAAATTTAACTCCCATGGATGTCCATGTTCATAAGTTCATGAATTTGTGAGTTATTCCAGAAAGGGTTGTTGGGAGAATAGCTGCCTTCTTAAAGATTTTTAATAACATAGAATTGAGATTTCATTTTGAAAAGTTTATCTGTAAATTATATTAACAAAAGATTAGCATAAGATGTTCAGAGAGAGAAAAATAACTTTGCTGCCTGGACTGTTTTTCGCAGGGAAGGTGATCCCCCATTCGAGCTATACCCCCACAATATAAACAGTATATCAGTTGGGAAGCAAGGTAATATGATAAGACTAGGTTTGAAAGAGACATTAGATTAGCTGTGTTTCTTGAAGTATCATAATATGTGGGTTGTAAATTCCTTAGGTAGTCAAATATTAGGGATCATTTTATTTTATCATTAGGTCCCTGGACATAAAACTATACATACTGACATATTATGGAGAGTTAGGTATAAAGGAACACAAATTGGACTGATTGTAAGAACTACCGAGCTTCCGCGCCGCGCCGTTTGCATCCACGCTGGAGCGTGGCGCAAGGGAGAGAGTCTCTACGGCTCCGTCCAGTGGGATGTGACGCGTTGTGTTCCAGGTTGGAACGCGGAAGCCGCCGGGCGTTCCTTGCGCCCCACCCAGTAGCCGCAGGCTATTTAAACACAGTCGTGAGGCTGACACGGCGTTCCACAATTCAGGACTTATCGCCCTGCAGCCCCCCGACGTCTCTACTTACCTGCATCACACCTGGACAACTCCTGCAAGCTGGGAACCACACTGCCTGGGACCTCCTCCTCACGGCCAGCACTCCTCCATACCTGGATCTGGATCTCCAAACCGCAAGTACTCTGTCAAGGTAATTAGCAATTACACTCTGTTACAACCAGCTTAAAGTGACTTTTACTCTCTCCAGAGATCAGACCAATAACCAGGGATTGTATACTTGATTGCTTGTCTTCCCCAGCGGGTTACCGTCATTCCCAGGCTTTGCTCAGTACTAAACTCCATATATATCGTACTCCTCTGTTGTCACAGAGACCATTAACTGTGGCCTATGAAGTAATAGGCCACCCTTAACCTAATTTAATTGAGAATACGGCAGACGATGCTGAAACCCCTAACTCTCCGTACAGTCAGAGTAACGCCAGGGGTTTAAGCCTGAATAGCTGTTTCTCTCTGTATAAAGCGGGATAAGGTCCGTCCTATATACCTTTCGCAGTTGAGATCCACAACTTAGAGGATTAGGGGGTACGTGACAGCATTGTGGAACCAGTCATGGATCCAGCGGAACTCACTGGACATATTGTAGCCCTCATCCAAACCATGAAGACTCTCACCCAGACTGTCCAAGAGCTCCAGCTACAGAACCAATCCCTAAGGGAATTGGTTAATGAACGTGCAGCTGCACCAAGAGAGGGTCCCGAACCAAAAGTCAACCCCCCTGAACCCTTCTCGGGAGATCGCAAGAGGTACAGGGAATTCATAAATGCTTGCAGATTGATGTTTGATGTACGCCCAAGAACCTACCCTAATGATCACGTGAAGGTTCTCACCACAATCTCCTACCTCAAGGGGGAGCCCCGTGCTTGGGCAAACACATATTTGGAAGCAGAAGACCCTTTACTAGACTCCTTTCAACATTTGCTGGACGCCATGTCCCTCTTGTACGAGGATACCAGCAAACAGTTAACAGCAGAAAACGCTATACGTAGTTTAAAGCAGGGCAGGAGACCAGTGGAGGACTTTATCGCTGAATTTAAGCGGTGGGCCAGAGAGACTCAGTTGAACGACATCAGCCTGCGTAATCAATTCCGCCTTGGTCTCTCTGAGTCCATTAAGGACGAGATCGCTCGAGCAGATCTCCCTTCCTCCCTAGACGAACTCGTACAACGTTCCATTACTATCGACCGCAGGCTAAGAGAGCGAAGGTCCGAACGCTGGATGGGTTGCTCAGAGTCACCCCGCAGACCGACTCCCCCAACTAGGTAGGAACCTATGGAGGTAGGAACTATTCAGGGGTCCCCTGATGTCGGGAGAAAGGATGAGACGACGCACAAGGAACTTGTGCCTCTACTATGCCTCTCCGGCTCACACTGTTGACTCATGCCCACTCGCTAAACGGAACGCAGAAGGTAATGTCTCTCATATTTGTAAGATGACACCACCAGTTTCTCCAACCAGTTTTTAAACATGTGTTTCTCTCACCTTACAATGGGACCATGAGAGGAGACGTATTGATGCCATGGTAGATACAGGAGCCTGGGCAACTTAATTGACCTCCGGATGGTCACACAAAATAAAATTCCTCACGTTAAAAAGCATACTCCGTTGTCAGTGAGTTTTATTGGTGGTTCATGCTCTGTCTCGGGTCCCATCTGTAGTCAAACACAACCGCTACTCAAGACATGCACCGGGGGACACACTGAGTATCTATCCTTTGATATTATTCCCTCACCTCTGTTTCCGGTAGTTCTGGGTCTTCCTTGGTTAAGTCTCCATCAACCTACTCTACTCTGGGGAAAGGGTACCCTACAGTTTCAGTCTAGTTACTGTAAGGAGACATGTTATCTGGTGGTTCCTCTAATGCAGGTTGGGGCAGACGGGCTGCCACGCTACTACAGTGATTTTCATGATGTGTACAGTGAACAACTAGCTCAGACACTCCATATCCTGTAGGAGAATTGGTTAAGCTACATACTTGCACAAGGTGATGGCCATGGAGAAGGTTTTGAATATGACCTACATAGGCTATATGGACCACTCAGGAGTAAGGATGGGCTGCATGTTCTAGCGTTCGCCGAACGCCGAACATTATGGGATGTCCGCGGTCTGTTCGACCCCAGCACATCCCACAATGCACTGCGGCGTCCGAAAGCGGTAAACGGCTACAGTCCTGCACCTGACCGCAGGTCAGGTGCAAGACTGTGCCAATCAGGGCTCAGTACAAATGTAGAGCCATGATTGGGCAGAGTCACGATACAGGGTCTCAAATGCAACCAGAGGCTCTGTTTACCCTGTTCCTATGCCACCACCTTTAAGCACAGGACTTGTTTCTTTATCATGTAAACCTTTTAACATAACCAGCAACATTGTTATTAGTATGTTTTATATTTTTAGGTGAAAATCTTAATCAGAATCTGTAGCACCCCCTAAACCTGTTAAAACCAACAACCTTGGCCAGATAATGAAACTCTAGCCTTTTCATAGGCTTGACTTCCTCCGCTGGTTCACTTTAAATAATATGTTCATAATTTTTTATAAACGCAAATCCTACAAACTTTTTCAGTGAGATCAAGTATTTGTCATTGTGTTCAGTCCATAATATCCAGTATTCAGATCACACGAGAGCAATAGATCTGCCTGATGCTTGCTTGGGGCAGCTTGGTCAACTTTGGTCATCGCCGACCGGTGCTCAAAAATGGCACACTTCATTCCATTGAATGGCCTTCCTTCTGCTTGTAAACGTACCCAGATATTCTTTAAAAAGATTTTCAGGCTCTACTGCCTGCCCTCATATTTTGTCTCAGATGGGGAATGCAGTTTACTTCATATTTCGGGAGGGTGCCCTCTCATCTTCTGGAGATCTGGATTTTTCATTGGCTTATCATCCATAATCCAATGGCCAAATTAAGTAAATAAATCAGATTCAGATTCGGTATGTGGGTCCTCTGGACACCACCCCTTCTACATTTCCACTGGTTTTTATTCTAGAGTTCCCTCTCTGATAGCAAGGACCTCTGAAGCTCCCACAGCATCTTTTGCTAGAGCTAACCTGAATCAGCTTTGGGAAGAAACTTGCTTAACTCTGCAGTGGACCTCGTCATGTTACAAGAAATGGGCTAATAAAAAGTGTAAGGTGTCTCTATAGATCTTTCTTTAGGGTCTGGTTCTCCACAAAGCACATCCATTCGAGGATGCTGTCCTTTAAGTTTGTTCCTCATTTCATTGTTACCTTCAGTGTGTTGGCCCACATTAAACCAGTCACCTACAAATTTAAACTGCCACCTTCTCTTTGCATTCACAATAGATTCCATGTCTCTCTGGTAAAACCTGTAGTGCTTAACTGCACCATTACATATTCAGGTTCCATTTCCATAGATGCTAAAGAGTAGTACAAATTGGAGGACATTTTTGGATACTAGAACATCCAGAGGTCAATTTACCTGGTACAGTGGGTTATGGAGGAACATTCTTGGGTTACTGAAAATCTTTCTTTCACTGCCAATTTCCCACCCCACAAGGGAGAGGCTACAAGGGGGGAAGTAGTGTCACAGTTTGCTGTATTTAGAATCAGCCTCTGTCACTCCACAGCTGTTTATGTTGTAACTGATATTTGATAGTATCAATTTGGTGTTTTACATCTATGTTCCATACTTGATTCCTGTTCATCTGTGAAATAGCTTTCTAAATCCACAGAAAACTGCCATATGTCTTTTGCCATCCACAACTCTGCCCCCGGCTATATCTCAAACCTTGTCTCAAAGTTTTATCCTATCCGCCCTCTCCGCTCTTCAAAAGACCTTCTGTTTTCCAGCTCCCTCGTCAACTCCTCCCATGCTTGCCTCCAGGACATCACTAGAGTCTCTCCCATCCTCTGGAACTCTTTACCCCAACCTGTCCGTCTGTCTCCCACTCTGACTGCCTTTAGGCGATCCCTTAAGACTCATCTCTTCTGGGAAGCCTATCCCACCTCAACCTAACCACTCAACCATCACGTTCTCAAACAATTCATCCCCAGACAGCTACCTCCTCATGTACCACGTGTCCCTCCCTTTTAGATTATAAGCCCTCAGGGGCAGGGCCCTCCTTACCATCTTGTCTTGAATTGTATTGTGATTGTAATGTCTTCCTTATATTGTAAAGCGCTGCACAAACTGTTGGCGCTATATAAATCCTGTATAATAATAATTTTGAGTCTGTGTGTTAAGATATATGCGCACTCCCCCGCTTGCTCGTAGCAAGAAGTGCTGATGGACCCATCCTCTGAGATCATGTCCGGAATAGCTATTTAAACCTGCTCAGTACACTTTGGAGTTGCCTTAGAAAAGACTTCTCTGTGTATCTCTACCTAGACTTTAGGACCCATGATCTTTGTTCAATTTTTGATACCCATTTTTGATTTCTGCCCGATTCTCAACGATCCTTGCTATCCTATCATTTTGCCTATGTCTCAATGATCCTTGTACCTGTTTGACCACAGCTTTCCCTGCCGATTCTGTGCGCCTGCCACAGCAAAGCCCATCTTCTGGGGTACTCAGGTGAGCACTGGGTGGTTTCTTAGAACTTGCACATCAGCCCTCTCTAGGACCTGCATTCGCCTGGTGACAGAGAGGGTCCACTACCTCCCTGACAGTCAGTGATTCATAAAGTACTAAACCCAGATGGTTAATGTGACATTCAGGCAACTTGCATATTTTGAAGGGATCTGTAGGTTGCCAATGCTGCCCTCTTTCTAGAAACTCTGGTTGCCTAGCTATCATGCTAATGCTTTGGCTTTAGTATTTTTTTGAGTCACTGGCTTGGAACACATATAGGTTTAGATATGCTCATGTATAAATTGGCACATTTGAAGTATGACAGCTATAATTTGATTGGACCATTTCAGTACCTTTTCCCCTCCAAATGATATGCAGCCAGTATAAGGCACTATTCCGTTAGTCAGGTCTAAACAATTTAGGCAATCTTAGAACTGATAGCTAATTTTTGCCATTTTGTTTAAGACAGTGCACTTGAGATCCATGTACTGCAATATGTAACCATTGGGCACACTCTATGGGGAAGGATCCAGGTCAGGTATGATGTGAACATCAACCATCATGACTTCTGTTCTTATGGATTTGGCCCTGGTGACTTCAACTAAGGATATTACAGAACATAGAGCTTACAGCTGCTAAAATGTATTTCTGTTAATGTATGCTTCCGTTACCTTATTACTAGGGATGCATCGATACTGATTTTTTGGTATCAAGTACGAGTACCAATATTTTTTTTCCGGTACGCGCCGAAACCGAATACCGATACCGGAAGTCCCATTAAGGAAGCCAGGTGGTGGGTAATGACTCACCAGCTGGCTTCCTGGTTAGCCATGAAGCCGTGCGGCGTGTAAAGACTCGCCACCCAGTTTCCCGATTAGCAGGGTAGCCATCTCCAGGCTCCCTCGTCCACCACGTGATGAGAAAGCATGGAGCAGGCTTTCTGGCCAATCAGGAAGCCGGGCGTCGTGTAATGACGTGTTGCCCGGCTTCATTGGTTGAGAAGCTGGCCAATCAGGAAGCCTGGGCTGCGTGTAATGACTTGCTGCCCGGCTTCTTGATACCGGAAGCTCAAGTATAGGGCTAGGCATCGGAGCATTTGGGCGAGTAGGAGTAGTCGCCCAAATACTCGGCATTGGCACTGATACCAATACTAGTATCAGTATCGGTGCATCCCTACCTTTTACCATTTAAATGTCACTGATTTTACAAGGTACAGGACTGTGCAAAAAATTACTAAGCACAATTCCTCCTCTGAATCAGAAAAAAAGATTTGTTAAAATATTTAAGGGTTTTCTATCTTTAAGTTGCTTGCAAAAAAAATTGAACCTCCGTACCTTTAGTCACCACATCTCATCATTAGGTAGCAGCTGGATAAATGATGTTTCTTGAAAAGACCAGAATTGTAAAGTGGTATTAAAAGGTGTAAATGGGATAACATGGCAAACAGGACTTACAGAGGACCAGTGGGAAATGGGCATTAGTAAGGATCTGAATCTTCACTCCTAAGTTGTTTAATAGTGCAGCCTTATTTCATAGGGAAAAAGGTGCATGTGCTTTAATTCCAGTTGTATTATCTCTGTTGGCAGCAATGTGAATCCCCCATGAAGGCTTACTTGTCTCTTCTACTTCAGTTCAGTACAGAAATAATAACTGACAAAAGCCAGATTTACACTTTTGTGCCACCTTCCTCTTTTTCTAGTTTATTGGCTAGCCTCAGTATCATACCAACAAGGTAAGATGCCATAGCTAGCCACACCATATATGCCAGTACACATAGAAACAAGTTTAGAAAAGTAGTGCTATCCAGGACCCAGAGTGGGTGAACTGTAAGTACAAAATACACTATTCCGCTAACTAAAATGCACACATTTGGCAGGGATAGCTACAATGAGAACCCATAAGAAAGTGCTACTGATGGTTGGAAATATGGTGTATGAGTATCTGTCAGCCATGGCAGCCCTGCCACCGTATGCCACAGTCTATATTAGATACGCAGATATTCGGCCCAGTAACTGGCAAACTCTTTTGGCTGCTGGAGGGGAAACATTTAAACAGCTGCACTGTTATAGCAAATCAAGAAGAAGAATGAAAATTCAGTTTATTACAAATGTCAAGGTGTCTGGGTCTCTTCAAAATAATGTTTCCTTAAAAAAAATTGTGATATATTTCTACATATAGAGAATTCTACAAACATTGGAGCTGTTTCATTTTTCTTACCTAAAGAGTCTAAAATTTCTTTGACATCCACAATAATATAGTCTAGCTTGTAATTCTCTTTGCAAGAAGGAGCATCTGTTTCTCCATATCCTCGTAAATCAAGAGCCACCACGCGATATTCCCGCTTAAATTCCCGCAGTTGATGGCGCCAAGAATACCTGCATTTGGAAGAGAAGCAAAAAGAAATATAAGTGATGCTGCAATTTGATAAGAAAATTATATATTTTCAGCATCCTAAAGATGTTAATTTCAAAATAACTTTAATGGCTTGTTCACACGATTTTCTGGTGCGGATCTGCAGACGCAGTGCTATGCGTGCAGTGCGTTTTTGATGCGTTTTTACAGCGTTCCAGTTTTTAAAATTTTTTTTTTTTTTTTGTTGGAGTGGGGCTGTCTGTATGTTATAAAGAGAAGTGGGTATGTTGCGCTTGGTAAGTGAATCTATTTGGTTTTACTGTGAATAGTGAAAATAGTCACAGTATAGTTCCGTGGTGATTAGTCCAATGTGAAAAATTATTCTGCAACTATGTGAAGTGAATATAAAGTGCAGGATAAGGTGAGTGATGTCTGTGAAATAATAATAAAAAAAAAGTGTACAAATTATAAATAAAAAAGTTTCGGAAACAGCAGTCAGCAGAAAAGTATATATAAATATAAAGTTAAAGGCTAATTTTTTTCTTCACTCCGTCACGGAGTCACTGCAACAACTTTTTAAAGGCTTCTCCTCCGATTAACCCGTCCTTCACCGCTATAGCTGCTGAGCCAACCCACCCAGTGTAGTTGGATACGGGACCGAACAAATATTGTAATGAATGGGAAACAAAGGAAGAAAAAAGAAAAAAAGAAAAGGAGAATCCTAAGTGTATTATCTCAATGGGTTTATTTAAACGCAAAAAATTTTTTTAATCACACTTACAGGATTGTGGATATTTAAAAGCAATTGAGTGTGAAGGGCACTCAGCCTAAAAGGTCATCCGATGTGTAGGAGAAGAATTTCCTTGACGTTTCATCCCTCATGGACTTTTTTTTTTTAAATTATTTCACAGACATCACTCACCTTATCCTGCACTTTTTATTCACTTCACATAGTTGCAGAATAATTTTTCACATTGGACTAATCACCACGGAACTATACTGTGACTATTTTCACTATTCACAGTAAAACCAAATAGATTCACTTACCAAGCGCAACATACCCACTTCTCTTTAAAGCACTTAAACACACATTGTTGCGGCTGGTGTTTTAAATCCGACTCCTAGCGCAAACTAAGTTGTTTTGAATGAACTGTCTGTATGTTAGCTGCAGTGCAGTGCGTTTTCGGCGCGTTTTTGACACGTTCGTGCGTTTCCGGACCAAATGTGACATGCAGTATTTTCTCTGTCCGGACCGGTACGGATTGCGCACGTGAGAACTGTAGCCCATAAAACACATAGGAATACATTTGGAAGCATTTTGGGTGCAGGAGCGCACGGTTCTGGTCCGGACACAATCCGGACGTCACGTGAACAAGCCCTAAAGCCGATTTCTACCTTTGCAGCCAAATTTGAGAAAACCCTCACTATATGTTATGTGTTTCCATTCACACAGCATGTCTAAAAATCATTTTTGAAAAATATTTCTTATCTTTGAGATTTTTTGTTGCAGCAGGGAATGTGTGGAATGTGTTTCTCTTATTAACATACAATGCAGAAGCCAGGCTTTTAGTCCTTTGTTAGGACAAGCAGTGTTCAAATGTACTTTACAAATTATAATGAAATCAGCAAGCACAGTACAGACAGGGTTAAAACAAACTTCTCACAGCTCCTCCTACATTTTTTTTTTATGTGATGTTATTGGGAACATGGAACAAATTTAAAATAGGCGTTCTCAATTTAGTTGCAAAAGTGAAAATACACATTACAGTGTACAGTGGCGTCAAAAGGGGGGTGCTGCTCGCACCTGGGTTCCACCATTGGAGGGGTGACACTAAAATGACTGACAGTCATTTAGTAAAGGTATATCCTCCCTCAGACAGTTGTCACCATAACCGGTCAGTGGTTACCCATTGGAAGGTTTCTCCTGCTGTTACTGTGACAACTCAAACATTTTTGATTTTCCAACAACTTCTCTACTGGAGACAGTGGTCATCAAGACCAGCATTTCTCAACTTTTTTTCAGCCACCACACCCTTTAAAAGCACACAAAATCTCGAGGCACCCCAGTCTAAAATGTACTAGACGTGCATTCGGATTCGGATGAACCTGCAAATCAACGAAATTCAGTTGATTCGGTGGTTTGTCCGAATCTGAAATAACAAATATATATAGTTTTATTGAGCCGTTCCGGATTCGGAGGCTCTTTGCCTCCGATGCTGAAACAGCATAAAAATTTGTTTCATGAAATGAATGAATGACGAAATGAATGAAAATGTTTTTAGTTTTCATTTGTTCCGTCTGAAACAAATTTTTATTAAGTGCACATGTCTAAAATGTCATGGATTTTAAAGGGGCAACCCCATGCACAAACAGAAAAAGTAGGGGTTCCCCCTTTACATTAAAGTCCCCTCTTAAATCAGGAACCCCTTTTACATCAAAGTTCTCCCTTAACAAAAGAGTCCTCAGTTCCCTCTTTACAACAGAGTAATTAGTCTCCCCTCCACATCAGAATTCTACCATCACTTCAGGAGGCACAGCTGCAGTAGCATGGTAGAGTGTGGTAAGACAGTCTGGAAAATTCCGAGGCCCCCATGAGGAAGCCAAAAGGCACCCTGGTTGAGAAAGGCTGGTCAAGACCAACAAAAATGGTGGATCTCTTCAGTGAGGGCACACATGGCATACAAGCTTGGCAGAGATTCTAATCCTTCCCTACTTTATTCAAAACTAGATTAAAAGTTTTGGCTTTCCATATGCTTTTGTTATACTATTTTTTGATTAACTATAAAATCTTAATTTTAACATTTTTTTTTTTAATAGGATACACCTATGGCACTGATTTTACAGAGCATTCTAATGAGCAGCCACAAAGATCTGTGACCAGAGAACAGCCCGAGAACTATTTCTTACAGGGAAGAATATACTGTACCTGTGGCGGGCTTTTGATGCCATTGGCAGCACCACAAAAAGAATGATTGTTGATACAAACAGATTCTGCTGGGATAGTTTATTGAAGCTTGAACCACATCACCGGTGTCCCGTCCAAGGTCCACCTGCTCTGAGATATTCCACCCAATCACGGGCTTAGTTGTGGAGAAACGCATCAAAGGGGGTGGACCTTGGGCAGGGCACCAGTGATGTGGTACAAGCTTCAATAAACTATCCCAGTGGAATCTGGCGTTTGGGCAGCTTTTCTTCTGTTTGTATGGGCTCACAGAGGAGCGGGGAGTTGGGGACATGTGAACTGCAGCAGAGGAAAGCCTGGCTATTCTGTGTTAGACAGGGCTGTGTAAAGTTGAGAACGGAATGATGAGAAATACATATTCTTTATGAAGTAAAACAGCGATCATTTATTGTTAATAAATGTTTTTTTTTTTCTGTTTGCCTAAAGTTCAGCTTTAACACCCATTGTGAAATTGAAGCATTTGTGCTATGAAGACAGGGCCAGTGGCAATGATCAAGACAGTCACGCTCTTGATATTGAAGAAAAGGACACATGATAGCAATAATTATGATTGAATGCACAGAGTCAGATTAATGATGTATAGATGGGTAGTTTATTGTTCCTTTGGAGAGGGTACTGCCCACATAACTGCAGAGCACAAGCTGCGATGGGAAATATCCCATGAGCTGCAGTCTGGCTATCCACTGCAAATCACAGCTGAGTCTGCTGTTCTTTGTATTGATTTTCTACCGAAGAATACCACTGCTGTTTACAAAGACCTGGTAATGAGTTTAAAACTCTGACTTTTATGCATTTGATGACCCTTATTATTGAATTGATTTTGAGTATAACACATGTCCTGTTATTGTGTGAAGACTTGTCAGATAGTTTCACTTGACAAAAGCATTTTCATCCTGCTTGTTTGCATAAACCTCCTTTGTGCCTGGTTCTCTTCAGAGTTTTGTTAAGCTATTAATAATCAGGAAGCATAGAGAGGTTTTATTGTTGCCTGGAGTGTAAATCCTGCTGGGCTCATCACAGATTTCATAGTGGCTGTATAATGATGTCCCAGTTGTAGGCAGTCTGCCTTAAGTAGATACAAACACCTGACTTAATAAATAACATTCATAATATTATTCCTCATAATATAGAATTGGCGGTATAAGAGTTGTTCCCATCTGCTCGTGAACTTTCCACTACTTTGAGAGTTTCAGAACTTCACAAAGGGTAAAATTAAAGCACCAAGGGCAGTAAGGCTCCAGTTACACATGGCGTTTGCATTTTCCGAAAATGTGCAAATCTTTCACAATTTCTTCCCAATAAAAACATAGGAAATACAAATATTTTGCCATGTGCATTCTATCCTGAAAAAAAAGTAATATGGTATACATTGGGCTAGACTAAAAACCCTAAAATGTGCAGAACCAGGATATCTCCAAAACAAAAAAATGCTTAAAAAAGTACCTTGTGACCCTGCCAAGGAGGTCCTTGTTCACCACTAATATGGGGTGACAATTGTCTCCCTATCTGTGCTACTGTGTTTTCACATTGTCACATGTACCCCTGATGGAGAATATAGAGTAACAGACTGTGGTGACAGACACTGGATATGCACAGTACACCGTTGCCACTAAAACAAAGCCAGTCCAGTGCAAAGATGTGAAGCTGACGGAGAACTATGAGGTGAGTGAAAATCACTCAGCCCCATAGTTGGAGCCGACATGTGATAATGAAACTGTCACACGTCGGCTCAATAGATCGGGAAGTGAGCGAACACATACCGTCGCTCGCTCACTTCTCGGTTATGTCCCTGTAGAGAGCCGTGCCTGTCACTCACGACTCCCTGCAGGGATTCCCCCCTCCACTGTCCGCTCCTCCAGCGCTGACTGGCGGAACGGATGGGGGAGGGGGCGGGTACAGTTGGCTCTGCCTCTAGATAGGCAGAGCCAGCTGTCAATCACGCAGCTGGGTGGATCTCGACAGTAATGCTGGGATCCGTCCGGCTGCGGCAATCTCAGTTGGGTCACGGGAGAACGCTAGTTTGTGTCCTCCCATGACCCTGGGGAGAACTATGGGGAAAAG